ACAATTCCTATGGTATGGGAGAGGAGTTTCGGAAGGGCAAAGCAATTACAATTATAACTCCTACATTTTAGCCAGTAAAGCAGCTTTTTGTGTTAAGGGTAAGGAAGTTATGGGCATCTTGACTCACCCCCCTTCTTGATCTGAATTGCTAAAAGGTTTTAAAGACTGCAGTAAGGAGGGAGAGCAAGGTTCCAGAGAGCTCTTAGACGTATGTGAATTTGAGACAAAATTTCATTCCTACTGATGATATCAAACATTCATAGGAAAAACTTAATTAGGAAATGAAAGGACATAAAGCTTTTCTTATTAAGGTATTTTCATTGTAATTTTTAAGGGGACATTGTTAATATTGGGTATTTTGGTCCTCACTGAACTCACAAAGTTCTTTTCCTATGGTTAGTTCTATTACAGTTCTTGGCTCTAAAGATTTTGCAGTTGTTCCCTGTGCTTTGAGAATGTAGTGCATTAAATCAAAGCTTTCTTAATAAAGTATCCATTCATTTTTGGAATTGTAGTCAGATTGTATTTTACTTTTAACAAGCTATTTAAGATAGAATGTTCTTTGCTTAGAAAAAAAATAGCATTTTAAAAGTTGTAAAATCATTTCCAGCTTTTGAAAAAAATAAATATAAATTACTTTCAAATCTATGTCTGTAACCATTTATGCATTTATACCTTTAAAAAAAACCTCTAGTGTACCAAGATATGTGAAATATATCTTTCAGAAGACATCTTGCTCTAATAGTGCATAATAAAAGTTAATGTAGGATATTTGAATGAAAACATTCTGAATATGTTTTCTTAATTTGGTATTGAAAAATAAAAGTGCTTGAAATCTTATAATAACAGGCATTGGTTTTAAAACAAAATGGGCATATCTTTACTTTAAAGAATAAAGATTAGTTTATATTCAAGTTGGGAAAAATTCAAGTACTTTTTGGATAATGAAGTAAATCAGTGTACCACTTCATGCTTTCTGACTTTAAAGAATTGAAAGTCAGTCACAGGAATCATGTAATAACAAAGAATAAGTAGATACTATTTTCGGGTTTGAAAAAAGTTATCTTGTATTTATTTTTATCAGAGAAAAATCAAACCTACCTTGTAAATTTTGTAATACTAGCTAATTCTTTAAAATATAGTTAATCTTTATATTAACCTAAACTAATAAGCCAGATGGCCTATTTTTATTATTTGTAAGTTATGTTATACTTGGGAAATTGTATGCAGAGGAAATACATTGATGTTTTTTGAATTTGATATCTCAGGAGGCAAAAAAATTGTTGAAGAATGTGTGTTTTTTTAAAGATGCAAGTGTGATTTTTAATTGACCTAAATTTTCCATGATGAACTCTTTCTTGTCTTAGAAAGTAAATGGTTTATTGCATACTAACCATCATGATATTAAGACCTTTTCAGATGGATTAAAACAGATCAAATTAGAAGATGTGGGTAGAAGTCATGGAGTTTGATTAATTACATTGAGGCTCATTGATTCTCTGCTCAGCCCCCCCCCCAAAAAAAATCCTAATGTTTTGAGGATATAGCTCAATAGTAGAGCATTTGCCGAAACCGGTTTGGCTCAGTGGGTAGAGCGTCGGCCTGCGGACTGAAGGGTCCCAGGTTCGATTCCGGTCAAGGGCATGTACCTGGGTTGCGGGCACATCCTCAGTAGGGGATATGCAGGGGGCAGCTGATCGATGTTTCTCTCTCATCGATGTTTCTAACTCTCTATCTCTCTCCCTTCCTCTCTGTAAAAAATCAGTAAAATATATTTAAAAAAAAAAAAGAAACCTGGGTTTAAAAAAAAAATAGTAGAGCATTTGATTGCAGAATCCTAATGTGTGTTTTATCTTCCACTCTCTTTCTAGTCATTTCACTTATGTTTAACATTTTTTTAAATATATTTTATTGATTTTTTTACAGAGAGGAAGGAAGAGGGATAGAGAGCTAGAAACATGGATAAGAGAGAAACATTGATCAGCTGCCTCCTGCACACCCCCCACTGGGAATGTGCCCGCAACCAAGGTACATGCCCTTGACCGGAATCGATCCTGGGACCCTTCAGTCTGCAGGCTGATGCTCTATCCACTGAGCCAAACAGGTTACGGCTATGTTTAACATTTTATACAGAGACTGAGAAGAGAATCGAAGTAGCATGACTTTTAAACACTTACTGAGCTTTTTATGATGTGGCAAGTTCAGTGCTAGGCTCTTTATATGTTATCTCACTTAATTTTCATAATTAAGAAAGAAACTCAGGTCTTTCTTTGCGTTTGACTACTGTGCTACTACCTAATTTCTGTCCCCTTTTTGCCAGAGGAGAAAATGCTAATTTGCTAGGCAAGCCATGGCCACACCCCTTCACCCCCAAAGGCTGGGCCTAGCATAGACCCCTGACACTTTGAGAAGACTTGTCTGGCTGGAAGCCTCCGCAGCCTGATGACTTTCCTTCCTTCCATGCCAACCACTCAGTGCCTCGTGGAGGTTTCTGGATATGCTGCTTTTTCACACCTTTGGGTCTTAGAACCTGTTTTCCTCAGCCAGAATACCTTCTCCATTGTCTGAAATGAGACTGAACACCTTTAAAGAGGACTTCCTCTTTACCAGCCGCCGCCTCTCCTCCTCCCCCCCCTCCCAGATCTGGTGAGGAGTCTCTCCTTCCTATGTGCTTTCTGTTGCATTCTATATATAGTGTTTTATGGCATTAACTGTTTTTTAATTGGCTTTAAGCTGTTTGAGGTCGGGACCTTTGACCCAGTATCCCTAGGGCCTGTCATACTGCAGAGCATGCAGTGCCCACTAAGTATCTTTGAAAGAATGAATGCAGTTAGCTCAGTGGAGAGAGGGCTATTTAGATAGAAAATGGTTTTTTTTTATTATTTTATTTTTCAACTTGAGTTGAAATTCAATATTATTTTGTATTATGTTTCATATATACAGCATAATGGTTAGATAATCATATAATTTACAAAGTGATTCTGTCCCCCAGTATTTCAAGCACCCACTTGGCATAGTTATTACAATATCATTTTACTATATTTCCTCTGCTGTACTCTACATCCCAATGACTATTTTGTAACTACCAATTTATATTTCTTAATCCTTTCACCTTTTCCACCCAGCCCCCCAAACAACCTCCCCTCTGTCAACCATCAGTTTGTTCTCGGTATCTATGCTAGTAAGTCTGTTTCTATTTTGTTTGTTCATTTATTTTGCTCTTTAGATTCTGCATATGAGTAAAACCATATGGTCGTTGTCTTTGCCTGATTTATTTCACTTAACATAATAATATTTTCTAGATTCATCCACATCCTAAACTCCTTTTTGGCTAAGCAATATTCATTCTTTCTTTTGGCTAAGTACATACCACTTATCTGTTGATAGGTGCTTGGGTTGTTTCTGTACTTTGGCTATCATAAGTAACGCTGCAGTGAACATAGAGGTGCCTATCTCTTTTTGAATTAGTGTTTTGGGCTTCCTTGGTTATATACTCAGAAGTGAAATTGCTGGGTCATAAAGCAGTTCCATTTTTAATTTTTTGAGGGAACTTCATATGTTTTCCATAGTGGCTGCACCAATTTGCATTCCCACCAACACTGCACAAGTGTTCCCCCTTTTCCACTTCTTTGCCAACAATTGTTTGTTGATATATTGATAGACATTCTGACAGGTGTGAGGTAGTATATTATTGAGGTTTCAATATCCATGTCTCTGATGATCAGTGACTTTGAGCATCTATTGGCCATCTGTACGTCCCTTTAGGGAGGTGTCTTTTCAGGTCCTCTGCATACTTTTTAATTGGTTTGTTCGTTTGTTATTGAGTTGTATGATTTCTTTATAAATTTTGGTATATGAACCCTTTGTCTTCTCCCATTCAGTAGTTTGCCCTTTTGTTTTGTTGATGCTTTCATTTTTGCTATGCAAAACTTTTTAGTTTAAAGTAATTCTAATTATTTATATTTTCTTTTGATTCCCTTGTCCAAGGAGATTTAGGGAAGATACTAGTATCGTGTTGACATTCTTGACTAAGGTGAGTAATAGGGAAGAACTTGGTTGCTTTCAAACCAGTTACTACATTACCAGCAGTTTTACACTGTCAGAGTATAGTTTTATAATAAAAGCCTAAGCGACCGCTACAACTGAATGACTGGAATGATGGGTCGACAGTTGCTTTAACACACACTGACCACCAGGGGACAGATGCTCAACACAGGAGCTGCCCCCTGCTGGTCAGTGAACTCCCACAGTCAACTTTCCACGGCCCCTACTTCCCCGCCAGCCAACCTCCTGCAGTCCCTGTTCACTCCCAAACAGCCGGCCCTGATAGACCCCAATCAGGACTGGGTGAGACGCCCTCTTTGGCCCCAATCTCTGGCCAGGCAGAGGGACCCCACTCATGCACAAATTCGTGCACTGGGCCTCTAGTAGTTTTAAAATAGTCATTTTTAAAAAGAGAAGTAATATTATATTTGGTAGAAGATACGAGAGGACAACCTTTATATTAATCCCATGGTGAAATGGATTAGAAATGTCCTCTAGGGACAATAATAAAGAGGAGAGATGTTTCCTCTCACAATATTGTAAATTTTAGTTGCTATAAATCTTTCTAATATCCTCTTACTATCTGTTTAATCTCCACCACATCATAGTTATGTTTTCTTTTTCATTGCAAATATAGTTTATTTTGCCTTCTCTCTTTATCTCTTTATTTTCCTTGAATGCTGAAGGTTAGTCTATTTTTGGCTTTGTTGATCTCTACCTTTAAAAAAAATTATTAATTTTTGGTCTTATTTTTTTCCCCTGTAATTTTTATGTTTACCTCATTAATTTTGAACCTTTCTTTTTTGCTAAAACAAGCATTTTAGCAATAAAGTTCTCTCTTATTGCCATTTTATATCCTATAACCTGTGATTCATAGTATTTTGTTTTTAAGTATTTCTTATTTTTTTATGATTTTTTTTTTATCAGTGAGTGACTAAGAAATATGCTTTTAAATTTCCAAATAGGAAGTTTTGCAGTTCTCTTTTTAAGTAAAGTATTTAACACTGTGTTAAGCTCAGAGGACATAATCCATCTGATATTAATTCCCTGAAATGTGTTGAGGCTAACTTTATTGCCAATCAGGTGGTTTATTGGTTTTTATAGATGTTTCTGTGTGCTTGTGAAAAATGTATATTCCCCAGTTTTTGAATACTGTATTTTATAAATATCCACTTCATCAGAATTACTTTTTAAAATTTTATGTATTCTTAGTTGTTTTTTTAATGTGCTTAATTGATCCATTTCTGAGTTAAGTGGGCTGAAATTTTCTACCATGTTTGATATATGTGTTAATTTCTCCTTGTAGATCTGTTAGTTTCTCTTTCATATGTTTTTTTCTTTTCATTTTTAAACCACAGTTTGTATTCAGTACTCTTCTGTACCAGTTTCGAGTATAGCAAAGTGTCCTCTTTTATGTTTTGAGTTTATATTATCACAAATAAGTTTAGAATTGTCTTAACTTTCAGGCAAATTGGAACTTTTATATTCAGGTAGTAATTGCATTTTTAATAATTTTTCCCCTTAAAGTCTGTTTTGTCAAATGTTAATATAATTACTAGAGCTCTCTTTTGGCTTCTGTTTCCCTAGTATAAATTTTCTTCTTTTTGACACTTAGTCTTCTTGTGCACTTATGTTTTAGGTATATTTCATTAAAAATAAACCTACACAGAATAAAACTGTGATTTGTTAAATCCAATCTGACAGCTCTATCTTTTAACTGGGAAGTTTAAATCATCTGTGTTTACTGTAATTATAGTTATATGTGGATTCATTCTTTTTATAAGTTATTTGTCCAAATTTTTCTGATCTTTTCTTATTTTACATTCTAACTTTAACTCCATATCTTGGTTATTGTGAATAATGCTACTATGAACATGGGAATGCAGATATCTCTTCTAGATAATTATTTCATTTCCTCTGGAGATATACCCAGGAGTAGGATAGTTTCAGATGGTAGTTCATTTTCAATTTCTTGAGGAATCTCCATACTGTTCTCCAAAGTGGCTGTATCAATGTACATTCCCACCAACAGTGTACAAGGGTTCCCTTTCCTCCACATCCCACCACCATTTGATATACATTGTCTTTTTGCTAGTAGGCATCCTAGTAGGTATAAGGTGATGTCTCATTGTGATTTTAATTTTAATTTTCCTGGTGATTAGAGATACTGAGCACCTTTTCATGAACCCGTTGAACATTTGTATATCTTTGGGGAAATGTGTATTCAAATCCTTTGCCCATGTTTAATTGGGTTATTTTCTTTTTAATATTGAATTGTATGAATTTCTTCTGTATTTTGGATATATGGTTTGCAAATATTTACTCCTATTCCAAAGGTTGCCTTTTCATTTTGTTGACGATTTCCTTTGCTTTGCAGAAGCATTTTACCTTGATGTAATTCTACTTGTTTATTTTTTATTTTTGCCTCTGCCTTTGGTGTTACATCCAAAAATTCATTAACAAAACGATGCCAAGGAGCATACCCTTATGTTTTTTTTCTAGTAGTTTTATTGTTTCAGATCTTGCATAACTTCTTGCTTTACCATAGTACAGTATCAAAACCAGGAATTTTGCATCAGTCTGATCTACCACAACCATATTCAGATTTCACCGGTTTTATGTTCACTCATTTCTGTGTACGTGTGCATAGTTCTGTGCATTTTGTCACATATGTAGAGTCTGGCAGCCACCAATACAATGAACGTACAGAACTGTTCTATCACCAAAAGACTTCCTAGGAGGGCTGTTTTTAATCTATTTTTTCATGGCGATGTAGTCCTTCGTGACACCAGCTTTATAAGCAAGGTCTCCTATTAAGTAGATTTATCACCTTGGGTGGGCCTTGAGCTTTATCTCTTCCTGCACAGTTATCAGAGCAGAAAGCTGGCTTTGGGTGCTTAGTTATTATTAGTGTTGTTGGTTCACCCTTTTGGAGGGATTTTACAGCTTCTGATCATTGTTGCCAACTCTGAGATGTGTTTAAAGTGATACTTTAAATTGTTTTCAGCATTTGACTTGTTTCAGAAGGTTCATTCAGGGTTTCTAATAATCCATACTTTGGAAACAGTTGACCCTGGAAATATTAAAGAACACTTATCTTCATCGGTTGCATTGTAGTTTTTTCATAATTAGAAAAGTAGACTTTATTATATCTTGGTGCCTTTTATCTATGATTAATTGATGATTAGATACGCTATTTATTCAGAACTTTTAAAGATAATATACTTAAAGAATGTTCATAAAGTTTATAATGGACCTCTTAGGAATAGTTTAGTTTTCAGGCATATATTTTATTTATCTCTATATTAGTCTTAATATTGAAATAACTCAAGCCCAGAAAAGTTAATTTCTATAAGCTTATGGCCAATGGAAAATGAGACCCAAGTTCACATGAATCTTTTGCATACCCATTCTCTGCAACTTGCATTTAAATGGTTTCACAATTAACTTTTAAGTTGGATTTACACACCCAAACACTACCGTATTTGCCGGCGTATAAGACGACTGGGCGTATAAGACGACCCCCTAACATTTCCACTCAAAATACAGAGTTTGTTATATACTCGCCGTATAAGACTACCCCCTCTTCCGCACACCTTCCACACACCAAATAAAAGGTAAAACAATATCAGATTTGATTTTAACATTTTAATTTATATTCAAATGCTTATGACATGCAGGAAAACTGTCACAAGGCTGTATGTAATCAAACATATACATAAAACAGTGCAAGTTTATTACCGGTAAACATACCGGTAATTCACTAAAGAAAACACACTCTATAGACTGGTACCGTAGATGCTTCTCAGGAACACAGGCAAGCAGCCCACAACCTAGAGGGACTGTCAATGATAGAAGAAAGAT